CCATATGGTCTTTGTGCTAAATTTCTCTTTTGCACATTTTTCGTTGTGTTTTTTCTGGTTGCGCATTTTTCTGTTTCTGTTTGCGCTTTTTTCCGTTTGCGCTTTTTTCTGTGTGCGCTTTTTTCTGTTTGCGCTTTTTTCCGTTTGCGCTTTTTTTCTGTTTGCGCTTTTTTCTGTTTGCGCTTTTTTCCGTTTGCGCTTTTTTCTGTTTGCGCTTTTTTCCGTTTGCGCTTTTTTCCGTTTGCGCTTTTTTCCGTGTGCGCTTTTTTCCGTTTGCGCTTTTTTCCGTTTGCGCTTTTTTCTGTTTGCGCTTTTTTCCGTTTGCGCTTTTTTCTGTTTGCGCTTTTTTCTGTGTGCGCTTTTTTCTCTTTGCGCTTTTTTCTGTTTGCGCTTTTTTCTGTTTGCGCTTTTTTCTCTTTGCGCTTTTTTCTCTTTGCGCTTTTTTCCGTGTGCGCTTTTTTCTCTTTGCGCTTTTTCCGTTTGCGTTTTTCTCCGTTTGCGCTTTTTTCTGTGTGCGCTTTTTTCTCTTTGCGCTTTTTTCCGTTTGCGCTTTTTCTCTTTGCGCTTTTTTCTGTGTGCGCTTTTTTCTCTTTGCGCTTTTTTCCGTGTGCGCTTATTTCCGTTGCGCTTTTTGATTTGCGCTTTTTTCCGTTGCGCTTTTTTCCGTTGCGGTTCTTTCTGGGAACCCCCCTGAGTAAGTTTTACAATGGGCGATGGTACATAGGCGCTTTGTTGTCTCTTTCAAGATTTTTCCCGAGCCGACCCCCATCCCATCCCTCTTTTTTAGCCTCGCAAGTATCGAGTAGATCAATGTATCGTTTATGAAATACTTCCTAACCGTACGATTCACCACTTTAGCACATTTTGTCAGACACTAGACAGCACTAGTCAACAGATATTAATTTATTTGCATACTATTAGTATTAGGCACATCTTAACTAATTCACAAAACAGGGAAGGTAAGGTTATTTTTTATATATAACTATTTAGAAATTAATTAGAACGTTTAGAATTAATTGAACATTATTATATAATTAATAGTCAATTACTATTTATAAATGATGTTATTGAGGTGGGGGTGTGTGAGGGTCTGGCTTTTTGTTAGTCGTTAAAAAATGTGACGTCATTTGTGAATTCCCCCCCCCCCCCCCCCCTAAATCAGAAGGTTATCCGACGCGTGAGCTGGCCACATACAGTTGTACATGTGAAAAACATGTTTCTGTCTATTTTGCATTACTGCCTCATTTACCCAATCGCCATGAAAACTTTGGAAGCTGTTGAGGACAGCCACGCAAAGGTTTCTGTCATAGGCTAACATTTGTTTACATATTGGAGTGGGGACGCCCAACGGAAATATGTGATTTAGCACCCCTAGATCTTGCATAAGCGGATGAGGTTACTACTTTAAATCACCGGCGACAGTGTCATCCTGAGCGCATCACATATGAGCAGGTTGGCCCCCACAGACAGTCGTTTAAAAGTTCCCACAACACTAGGAATAAGTCTCGCTACTACACTCGATGACTAAATCTAATCAAGTGTTGCACCAATGTTTCTTCCAGACTGCCGGAAGAAACAATATGTCGCGCCCATCCCCTGTGCAGTAATGTAACCAGTGTTTCTTCCAGACTTTTTTCTCCGGGGGGCACTTGAAATTTTCGGGGGGGGTGGGGGGGCGGTAGACTTTCTTTTGGGGGGGCGGACACTGTTAAAAGTATATATTTTCTATATAAAGTATATAAATTTCATTTCGTTCGCCCCCCCCCCCCCCCGAAGAGATGCCTGGAAGAAACTCTGAATGTAACCGGTACCTCCCAAAAGCCCCGTGACTCCCCTGACACCTGGGCCGTCGCCGCGGGACTTACAGCATGCCTTGGCGTGTCTAGTTGGTAGAAATGAACTGCCGAAATTGTTAATATTTAATTCAACTTCTGGTAAACAGGGCACACGTCTAAAAATACACGGTTGGTAACGTTTTGATAAAAACCTCTTAAAAATCATCGTCAGTTTAGTGTGTTGGGCTAGATTTAGAGAGTCGGTGTTTCTCACTTCGAAAACTTAATGGGGCCATATATATATATATATATATATATATATATATATATATATATATATATATATATATATATATATATATATATATATATAGGGGCCCAAAAAAAAATTCTGCGGGGGGGCCTTTTTTTTCTAGTTCCGCCACTGCGCAGGGGTCGGCAACCTGCGGCTCTTTTGATGTCAAGATGCGGCTCTTCGGCTCCATGCACAAATTTTAATAACTATTTTATTTTATTTTCAAAACTGAAAATATTGTTTTGCAACACTCGGTAATAAATTCTAAAATCATAAACGTAAACATTAAACATTCGTTATTCTATTCAAATATTTAGGTACTCCCTATTTTTAATGTACTTCCTATTAAACTGTTCATCCCGAATTGAAACATTCAACTTCATGGTGGATATCACAAAGAAAATAAACGAGCTAAATGTAAAACTGCAAGGAAAGGAAAACTCAGCCTATGCCTTGCTTGAGAAGTGGATTTATCTAAAAAAAATTACTTTTTTTTTGTTGAAGACACGGAGAGCGGTAAATTACTTGATTTCGAAAAATCTGAAAAACAAATCTAGAAACCAATGCAACTATTAGCATGAATTGCTTCAGCATTACAACACACAAAACGAAAGATGGATTCACTGAGAGATTTGAGCAATTCAAAACAAATGCAAGTACTCTGACGTTCATAGTAGACTCTCTCAACACAATATCAAATTAGATCAACTTTTGAGCTATTTAGAATTGATGCTGGTTCGCTTCAAATGCAATTGCTGGATTTGAAAACGTATCATTTATGGAGCGAAAAATTCACAGAACTCAAGAGCAAGTAAAAATAGTTGAAGGTCCAGTAAAACATGCACGTGACGTTGCACAACTGGACAGCTGTAAAAGAATTATCGCGATTTGAGCTAAAATACTATAATATGTTTTGTGCGAAACATGTGTATTTTTAAAAAAATATGAATAAATATTATTTCATATTTAAAACTATTTTATATATTATGAGAGCTGATGTGCCGATGTTTACATTAGAGGGGAATGGACGTTTTTGAAGTTTTTTCTTGGGGAGTAACTCATGTTTGTGTGGTTTTTACTTGGTAAATATATTGATTCGCCATTTAAACATTCAAATAGTCACTTAATTTACATAAGAAAAAAGTTTTTGAGAATATTAAATTTGTTATGTATGAGCAAATTTTAAGACATCACGGGTCCTCTCAGCCTAAACTCATTTGTCAAAATTAAACTGCTGTTTGTGTATTTTACACTATAAAATCAACTATTTTTATTGTCATAAGTGAACGCTGGTCCAAACGATATTATTTTAGAGAGCGTCGGCTTTATCTAAACAATGTCGGGGTAGGAGGTGATGACAGCTTGTATTTATACTTAAGTGCATGCCCGTGTTTGATATTTTGAAAAAAGGCAATATGCATGTGATGCACATATTAAAGCATTATGGTTTTTTTTATAGTAAAGAAAAACAAACAATTACACTTTGACGTGAAATTTACTATGATTTGTTAGAGAAAATTAGGGAGACTCTAAAAATCGGGGCCACCGGCTGCAGCCCTCTCAGCCCCCACCCTTAATCCGCTACTTCCCTCTAAGCATTTAGGTCGTCTACTTTAATAAAGACTGCGATACACTTGTAAACCGTGCGGCGTCAAAACGGCCAATGACAAAACGGCCCCGTCAAAACGATCCCGACGATAGTGCCCTTACTTAAGAGCCCCGTCAAATCGGCCCCGTCAAAAGGGCCAGCGTCATTTAGACTCCCGACAAATAGGCTCCCGTTAAATAAGCTCCCAACATATAGGCTCTTGTCATTTAGTTTCTCGACTAAACGATTCCAGACAAATAGGCTCCCGCCATTTAGTTTCTCCACAAAAACGGACCCATAATAGGCTCCCGTCATTTTGGCTCACGACAAATAAGCACCTATTAATTTAGCTCCCGACAAAAGGACACTGACAATGCGGTTTCGAGAGACTAAGTCTCCCGGCAAAACGATCTCATTGAATATGACACCTGCCAGTGGGACCCCTTCATCAATATTCTTTAGAGTTAGCTTATCCAACACTCTTAAGTAATACAACGTATGCATCTTTTGTTCGACAGGCATTATTTATTTTTATAATAGTTTATCTATTATAAGAAATAGTATGTTTTAATCTATGAGTTCAATAAATTAGTCGGTTATAAGCTGTTCCAACTCAGTGTGAGGGGAGAGGGGTCCACGTTGTACATTCTTACCTGCAGTAGGCATTCCAAAATGCCATTATCCTGTAAACATCACGTATATGATACATTTACACTTCTTTGCTCGCTTTTAAGCAACAGATCTTTACAGTTGTAAATTACACATTATCAAAAGTCTAGAATTGGTGGAATTTAGCTGTTAAGGGCTCAATTTTTTTGTGTGAATTGATGTTGGTTCGTGAAAAACAATTTCATTCATAATGGGGCTATTTAGACTGGGTCGTTCTGTCGGGGGTCGTATTGACTGGGTAATATTGACGGGGCCGTTTTGGCCGCTTTGACTGTGCACCCTTGTAAACATAGTTCCTTCTTTAGTTACATTTAAATAACTTAGTTTTAGAAAACAAGGTCACACTTCAAAAAATAGGTCTACACACGACTGAAAATATTTTTGATATTATCTTAAAATATTCCACCAGGGTACGTAGTATATTATATATATATATATATATATATATATATATATATATATATATATATATATATATATATATATATATATATATATATATATATATATATATATATATATATATATATAGAGAGAGAGAGAGAGAGAGAGAGAGAGAGAGAGAGAGAGCGTCTTTAATTCGGGGGCTTCGTGTACACGCTAGGTCCGCTAGGTGGTCCCAAAGAAGAGAAGGCATTATCGTATATTTGAAATACACATGAAATCTACTTACTGACTTGATTATGTAAATCCAGTCCATCTTATTAGAATCCTTAGAAATTAGGCAACCATACCTGTGGAGGTCAGTTTAATATGTAGTTAGAATAATTTTGCATTAAATATTAATTAAAAACCGTTATTTACAAGGGCTTTCATTTCATAGTTTAAATTAAAGGAAAGACGTCAAAAAAGTATAATTCGCTTTATAAACGTGAATGCTTAAAGTAAATAAACCGGGAGTGATCTCCCCTAACTTTCTCGAATATTTTAATATAACACTACGGGGGATGGCAACTCGGGAAATAGACAATATTTTTAATCCATTTTTAATTACTTAAACTTTTTATAATAGAATAGAATCTCGTCAAAAAAAAGAATTGCACACCAAGTGAACGCTAAATAAAATGTGCATAATAGTGCGGGATATTATTAGTACCATAAATTCACATGCGTTTTTTTTTGAGAAATCGGAAATAGGATAAATTACTACTTTCGGTCGACGGAAGTTACTCAAAATTTGATAGAAGGCAGAGAATTAGATCTTTTACATATTTGTGAAATTTTATTTATCTATCTGAAATAGTACTCAAGTTATAGACTTTCGAAAGATTCAAAGTAGAAAAAGTTCCACTTCCGGTAATCGGAAATCGCTCAAAAGTTGATAAGGATCTACGATTTTGCTATAATACTTATATATGAAATTCCATCAACCTAGCTGTAACGGTACTAAAGTTATTGTGTTCACAGGCACACATAAACATACACACACACACAGACATAGCCTACTGACAAGATTGCAAAATTATTTTTTTCCGACTGAGGGAGCCCTAAGTTGTCGAGATTTGCAAAAATCTCGATTTTTTTTGCACGATTACAAGATTTTCTCTATACTTCGCTTATACGAGAAAGTAAATATGTAAAGTACACTTTTAAACCTTACGGTGAAGTAGAGTTCACCTGTTTCAGTTGTGTTATGATGCATGTTCGACTAGGGAAATTGGTGCGCATGAATGCTGGTGCGAAGCGATAATATTGAACGAGTGAAAGTGTGACGCGGTACGCAAGAAAGTGACGTTTTAGTGTGAGTTCGTTGTTGCCGGGGAAGAAGCTTGAGTTAGTCTTGTTCGTGTTATGTTAGGGTTAGGTTGTCCAGTCTTAGTATTGTTTGTTCAAGCTGTCCGATGTCTATTTCTATAGTGTAATAAATGGAATTAGCAAACAATGTCATTCTATCAAATCATTAGTAAGCGTTGATGTCGTCGTGTCTCAAGATGCACTATTGCATAGCTAAACATAATCAAATGGTAGTGGTATTGAAATATAGTATTGGAGCAAGTAGTTCTACCCTCTCACTGCATAACTGTGGTACACATATAGAACCCGGTTATAACAAGTTGCCTCGGCATATGGATAGTATGGTCAGCACTATGCCCAGTTCTCTAACGTGAGCACGGTACCCATCAGAGTTGGGTGGACAAGTCCTACGGACTCGAGCTTGAAATCCCAGCTCAAGACTTTCGGGTTAGCAGTCGAACGTGCTATCATCCAACTACACCGACATAAGACAATTCTATCTGCCAGAAGGTGTCTTAGCACTATTTTAAGGCGTATCTGTTTGTGGGTAAAAAAATAGAGCGCAATGCAGGATAAGAAAAAGATAAAAATATGTGAAGTACTAAGAAAAATAAATTCTGACAAATAGACCTAACCTGTATCTCATGACTGTCCACATTGCTTTATTTTCCTCTAAGACATGGACAGGAAATTGATGGATCACTTTATGTTGTCTAACATAAAATGAATAGAAATCAATTACACTTAATGCAGCCAAGTATATGATCAAATATTTAAGCTCCTCAAAGATAACAATATAATCGACGGTTCGGCTAGTTCTTGTGTCTGCTCTAGCTAATTGTGATACTATTTAGATCAACTACATGCGGTGATCGTTCTACCAGAGTTTCTTCCAGGCATCAGGTCTACCGACCCCCCCCCCCCCCTCACCGAACGAAATGGAATTTATATAGAAAATATATGCTTTAAAAAGTGTCCGTGTCCGCCCCCCGAAAATTTAGTCCGAACCCCCCCCCCCCCCGCCCCCGAAAATTACAAGTGCCCCCCCCTGGAGAAAAAAGTCTGGAGGAAATACTACGTTCTACGGTCATTAAGCCACGATGTTGCGAAGATGCACTTTGAAAACTGACGACTAACAAGGCCGCAGTGACAAAACCAATTAATTCGATTGTCCTCAACTAGGTTAAGGGGGTATGCTCCAGAAAATACCAACTTCCTAATTAATATGTTTATTTATTTATTTATGTATATCTAAGTTAAGGTACTTAAAGGAACATATTTGCAATTATCAGGGACTCTTTTGAAAATATGGTTGCCATGGCAAAGGCGGCCGTCTGGAAAAAAAAACTTTTTTGGAGTTCTAAAAATTTAATAAACTAGCTTAAGTAGCCATATAATCATTAATCCATCATTTACTAATACTAATAGAGTCAGCTGGCTAGTTTTTTTTAGCAGAAAACACTCTAGAATTTTTTTTTTTTAATTTTCAAAATTTGGTGAAAAATCTTAAAAAACATTGCAAAATTTAACGGTATTTCACCATACATTTCTTTTTTATAAAATTAAAAAAAAATTGTTTTTAGCGGTTTTTTGTTTGTTAAATAAATTATTATGTGGCCGATATATATGTTAGTTTATGAAATTTTAGAACTCCAAAATCGGTTATTTTTTCAAGATGGCCGCTGTTACCATAGCAATCATATTTTCAGAAGAGTCCCTGACATATTCAAACATTTCCCCTTTAGTACCTTAACTTATATATAAACAAATAAATAAAAAAGACTCATTATTTAAGAAGTTTTTTTTTCCCGTTTTTTTTATCTCGAGCCTAGCCCCTGTTAAAAGTATATATTTTCAATATAAAAATGCCCAAGCGAATCCCGCATGAGAGACAATGAAAAGATTATCGTTTTACACCCTGTGCGTTTATTGTGTTCATTCGTGCGGCGTCAAAACGGACAGTGACAAAACGGCCACGTCAAAACGAACAATGGAAAACGTCAATAAATTACATGTTTGTTACATCTTTACGGACTCATGGTTGTGGGATGCCCGTGAGAAAACGATCCCGTCAAAGCAGTAATTAGCTTTGCTATTATCTAAATTTGTCTAATTACACTGGTAATACAAAATTTCAAGTTGAATAAGCTTTGTAATTTAAATACCGTTTTATTAAAATTTGGTATATCTACATTCTTTCATTTAAAAAAAAACGATGCATTATCTTCTGTTTCATGTTAGCGCCAACACAAGACGAGTCTTCATTTGATGTTTCTTAAAATGTTATTATTTAACACTTATTTAAATAAACAGTAAATTTTTTGTCAGCGAAGTCATTTTAAAATTAGTTTTTTAGGCAATTCATTATTGATTCATTCTCGCTCTTGGACATTTGAGTAGCAAATTAAGTGCACTCCTAAACTGATATTTGAAAACAAAGGCTTTTAAAAAAATATACTTAGCTATCTCCAAATGTTTGATATCACTGGAATCCTCATTGAGATCAAATATACGCTTGCAATCCTAAAAATAAAAACAGTAAACTATTATCCATTAGGAAATGTAATAAATATATGCATTTATGAATCATAGTCCATCCCATAGATAAACCAATATGACTTTTGAAAAATCGCGTTCAGTTAAAAAATAAAGCGGAAGTGACCTCCCCTAAACTTTCTCGAATACTGTTATATAACACTACGGGGATGGCAACTAAATAAATGTTTACGTACTTTTTATAGAATCTCGTAGAAAAAAAGAATTCCGCACCAAGTGAACCGCAAACAATATAATGTGTATAATAGTGCGGAATACTAGTACTTTATTAATTCATTTGCGTTTTTTTTAGATTTTGTAAATGGCAACAAGTACTACTTCTGGTAAACGAAAATTACTCAAAATTTGAAAGATAACAGAGAGTTAGATCTTTTAATGCTATATGAAATTTCGTTTATTTATGTGAAACAGTACTCAAGTAAAATATGCTCCATTTCCGGTTATCGGAAATCGCTGAAAAGTCAATACAGAACTACAAATTTCATATAATACTTATGTATGAAATTTCATTAACCAAGGTGTAACGGTACTCAAGTTATCGTGTTCACAGACACACATCCACACACACATCCACAAATACATACACACAGTGGCGTCGCTAGGTCGGTTGTCACCTGGTGCGGCATCTCGCGGTGTCACCCCCCCCCCCCTTTGTCTCTGTAAATGTTGCAGTTGGTGTTTCCCCCCCCCCCCCCCTCAGTAAAAGCTTTAAAGTGTTCACATTTAATACTAACGATATTTATCTATAGTCTTGTGTCAAAACAGCTGGATGTAGCATTGTTTTCTCTATTGGTTGCATGTTTACCACATGGTGTAACCCCTCCCCCTTTGTCTCGATCATCATTATTTACTTTAAATAATTTTTAACTCTAATTAAACATTCATTGAAGTGACAAAAACATTATTCTATATATCTTGCATTTTTTTTGTCTCGGTGTCACCCCCCCCCCCCCCTAAATGGTGTCACCCTGTGCTGTCCGCACCCCCGCCTCGCGACGCCTCCGAATACACTCACAGACATACGGATTAAATTGCAAAACTATTTTTTCCGACTCAAGGAGGTGTAAAACATCGAGCATTGTGAAAATCTCTGAAATCTCGATTTCGATTTTTTGCACGATTACAATACTGCCGCTATACTTAGTAAAAAGTAAAATGCTGATTTTACCTTTCTAGGAAGATATAAAAGTTGAGATTCCGCCAGTGTTACCACTGTGCTCTGTCTTCGGCAACTACACAGCAGATCGTTTATCTTAGAATTAAACAAATGTTCACGTAATCACAACAATGGTACATTTGTATACATAATTTGGCATGTTGGACAGTCAATATTGTTAGCTTAACATATGTATATCATTGCTTATTTCAAAATCTAGTTCTAGGCCATTGTAACAAAGAAATGAAAAGTCAGCCTCACTCATTTATTAGACACATTACTATTGTTAAGTAGCCTACATTGTTTATTAGACAAATTAGTAATACATAATCATACCCCAACTATAGATCCTGGTAAAATATCGTTGTGTTTTCTTTTCAATTCATGCTTCTCAGCTACTAATAACAAAAAGGAATATAACACATATTATACTCAGAGGCGTAATTAGGTTTGGGGGCGTGGGGGAGGGGGGGGGGGGAGGGGGGATATCAAAATAGGTAATAAAAAAATGAATACACTTTCTGAGCTGCATTACTGAATAAGGCACACTAAAGATAGATTGGAGCTTGGCTTTATACTTATAGATTGACTAGCCGTCCCGGCCAGACCCTGAACTGGCCTCTCTGAAAATCCTATCTGTTTAGTAATCAGCATATACCCGGGTTTATTCGGGTTTATTATTCGGGTTTAGAAAATATATTACTTTTTGAATTAACCCTAACCACAACCAACCAAAACCAAACACACACAAAAAACGCAAATATAACAAAAACACAAACAAAACACTAATATAACACAAACGCAAACAGAAATACAAACACAAACAAAAATGCTAACGCAAACAAAATCACAAACGCAAAAACAAACACAAAGAAAACACAAACAAAAGAACACACGAAAACAAATGCAAATGCAAAACAGAAACCCAACCACAAACCCGAACACAAAGAAAACACAAGCGAAAACAAAACAGCAAACACAAATACAAATAGAAACACAACCGCAAACCTTAACGCAAACAATAACTCAAAATAATGCAAATAAACGCAAACATAAACACTAACTTAAATACAACACATTAAAGCATAATGCTCATAGTCCAGCACGAGATGCCAAATCGCACCATGCTGGGGCGCCAACAGAATCGCCTGATTCAAATGAGTAAACAACTATAATGCCTCAACCTATTCTTAGTCTAATGCGCTCACTTAAAATAACGTAGGCGCCATAGCGAACCTATGTAATCAACGGTCCATCGGCACAAACATTCATAATTGAACATTATATATTATACTAGCCGTCCCGGCAGGCCCTGCTCTGGCTTCTGTGAAAAACCTTTTTGTTAAAGACCATTACCTGTGTGTTTAGTAATTATCATAAACCCGGCATTACCCACCCAAACCACAACTAACCAAAACCAAAACAACAAAACGCAAACATAACGCTAACACAATTACAAATACAAACAAAAACAAAAACCTAACAACAAACCCAACCACAACCACAAACACCAATACAAACACAAAGAAAAAACAAACAAAAAAGCAAACGAAAACAAAAACCTAACAACAAACCCAACCACAACCACAAACACCAATACGAACACAAAGAAAAAAAAACGAAAAAGCAAACGAAAACAAACCAGATCCAAACGCAAAACCAACCACAACCACAAACACAAACCCAAAGAAAAAAATACAAACGAAAAAGCAAACGAAAACAAACCAAATCCAAACGTAAAACCAACCACAAACACAAATACAAACACAAACCCAAAGAAAAAAACACAAACGAAAACGAAAAAAGAAAGAACAAAAACGAACCTAATCAAAACGCAACCATTAACGCAAACCCAACCTAAACACAAAGAAAACACAAACGCGAACATAAACGCAAAGTGCTCACAGTCTAGCCCGGGGCAGAATCGCCTGTTTCAGCATAATAAACGACTATAGTACCCCAACTTATTCATAGTTTTTTGCACTCACTTAAACGAACGTAGGTGCCTAACCAAACCAAATGAACAATTATAATACTCCAAGCTTATCCGTAAAATACCTACAACATTTGCACTTGATCAATCCCCGCTAATTATGTAATTATTTTTTTTCCCAACACCAAAACCAAGTAATAAAAAGTAAATTCTTTTCCACTAATGCAATGTTTTATGAAGGGAAGTAATTGTGTTTTCCTAATTTATCAAAGGGAAGTGAGTGCTAAAGGACTAAATATAAATAATTTTTAGACATAATTAGAGTTTTTGTAAAAGATGATATTTTTTTGAAATTGTGTTTAATGAACATGCCGACAATTATTACTATCAGTTTGAAAAATGAAAATTGTTTCACAACACTTTCAGTATTAATTTTTTTAACTCATAAATTTAGACTGTGAGCACGATAATAATCTAACACGTAAATCCATGTAAGTATTCACGACAAACAAATTTATTTTTACATACAGAATTGAGCTTTATATATTAGACTAATAATTGGACTAATAACAAGATGGCCGAAACCAGACAGACACGACTTTCAAAAAACCTTAGCTGGCCTTCGCTCTGTACTGTAGATAACACGGACACCTCGCAAACTACCAGCTGGCCTGTGTCAACACCCGTAACGGATACATATCCAAATGAAACTGTAAATGTTCTTGAAAGTGGAAGAAAAATCGGAGATGTGTTACAAAAGGAGAGAACTGTCCCTGTACCTGTAAGTGCACTCTTCAAAAAAATTACGCTTACGGGGTCCGCACCTGGGCGGCATCCCAAAAACACGCTACGTGTGTTGATTAAAGGAAATAATAATCATTAAAAAAGTTTTTAAAAAACCCACGTTTTCTGATTGAACTAAAAAGTAGAAAATAAATACTATACATCACAATAATGCAAGCGATCACTCTACTATAAGCGATGAAAAACGTGGGGCGCCGAAGTAAAAGTTATATTACTATTGATTAGATAATACTATTGACTTTTATTAGGGAGCTTGTAGAGAGTCAACAGTATTAGAAACTGTAAGAAAATCACGGCGCCCCACGTTTTTCATCGTTTATAGTAGAGTGATTGCTTGCATTATTGTGATGTATAGTATTTATTTTCTACTTTTTAGTTCAATCAGAAAACGTGGGTTTTTTAAAAACTTTTTTAATGATTATTATTTTCTACTTTTTAGTCTTTGTCTGTTTGTTTGCATTGAAATCTTGCTATCGATTTTATCTTTTCACTTTTTTTTGGGTAAACGAAGACAACTCGTAAAAAGACAACTCGTAAAAAACGAGAGACCCTTTCTTCTTCGGTCTCAATCGCAAGTGAATGATTGTCAGAGGTTAGTTGATAGCGGTTAGGACGAGGGCTGGTTACTGACTAGAACACATAGATTTGAACCCGTGTCGAGTGGGATAGCAATCGTGTGCCCAACCACTCGACCATATCGTCTCCCCCAAACTGGCCACCAGTGGTAATAGTTACCTCCTGTAAGTTTAAAGTCGGTTCAAACTAAATTATCTGCCCCTAAGCCTGTCGCGACGTGGGATCGTTTCGCGTCACTGCGCGCGGCAAGAGAGAGGCGAGCTACGCGTCGCTCGTTTTTTTTCTAATGGCTCGCAGAGGAGAATTATATATATAGATTATATAGCGGTCTAAAATGCTCAATAAAATGTTTCCATTGATCAATTTAGTAATAATAACAATTGAATATTCTATGGTCATCCAAAAGAAAGCTTCCCTGAAAATTTCAGCGCGCTAGCTAACTGGGAAGTGCCAGAAATTTTGATCGCAAGATTTGATTGGAAAAACAAACAGAGAAAGCAAGTTAAAGAAAACGTGGGAAAAAAGAACGTCGACTCGATGAATTTATCTTAGAAGACTTGTTTACTTGTGAATTGAACATTAACCGTTCACAAATTATTAATGTCTACAACTTAGGGAAACCAAGCGAATGGTATATCTCACTGAAATCTGATGAAATCTATAACTCTCTACATCTGGTAGTAATATGCGAACACTCAGATTATTGTAGCAGCATGTTGCTGTTACATGTTGATAAAAATGGTCAGAGGGGTCACCTAAAATGGGTACCTCCTACCATTACTCAGAATATGATCAACAAAATTATGATTGAAATATCTGAGCCAGATACAGTCGTGTCAACTTTAAAAATTGGCAAAAGCGACAAGTGGGCAGTCGATTTTTGCCCAAACGCTCCCCTAAAGGACCTACCCCACTATATTGATCTAGAAATTGGAGGAGAAACTTACACCCTGCTATTACAACTAAACGGCAGGAGATCGATATGCCCCCTTTGTGGCACGACCAAACATGGACCGGCCGCATGCCGAAGCCCCTATGTAAGGGAGAGAGACAATATAAATATAGACAACGATGGAAATTATTACGACAATGATCTACTTATTGACGACAGCGAAGATGTGTCTGACGACGCCGCTGAAATTGAACCAGCCCAAGAACCAGCTCAAGAATCAGCTACAGCTACAGCCCCTACCACAGAAGGTGAATGGACAAAAGTTCAGGGAAAAAGAAATAAGCTTTCACGGAAAAAAAAGAAAGATAGTTTACGAAGCAAAGAAAACGAACACATCATTGAAACCGACACCATACAGAGCCCTACACGACCAACCCCAACACGCCCAACCGCAAAAGACAGGACCACAACAAAAAGGAAAACTTTCACACCCCCTCCACTAATCCCAAAACAGACTAAGGCGGACCAGGTTTTAAAGGCAGTGTAAGTAACCTCACAATTATAACCCTCAACATACAAAGTACAAGATACAAAGACAAGTTTTTAAGACAATTAATCGACAAACATAAACCTGACTTCATTTTATTACAAGAAACTAATTTAAAAAATAAATACACAGCAGACAAATTCACTCACAACTTAGGGTTAACTCAAGCACACCACAGCTACAGTTCACTAATCACGGGAAGCGGGTCAACAATTTTTAACACATCAAACAAGTTCAACATAACAGACACGCACGCCGATTCTGAGGGAAAATTAGCAATAGTTACAATCGAGGGACAAGAGGGAAAACTAAGCATAGTCAATGTACACGGACCACATAGACCAAAAGACAGTAAATTTTATGAAAACCTGGAACATTTATTAACTAACAGATACAACCAACATGACATCATTTTGGCCGGGGACTTTAATTTCGTGGAAGACAGATTAGACATTTTAGGACCAAAAGACATAATTCGAAACCGTTTAACCGCAGACAAACCACACGCCAACTCAATCAACAACATTAAAACATATTTCAATTTAGTCGACACATACAGAGCGCAATATCCACACACCATACAAACCACCCACGGAAGTAACACATCTGGGAATAGATTCCGTCTAGACAGAATTTACGCCCCATC